GATTGGAGTGTATGTCTCTCCAAGTGAGTAAGGTACAGCCCCACTTGTCACTCTGAATGTGATTGATTGGGCGATAGGGAAGGCACTCAGCCATTCCCTATTGCCCCAATCTAGCAAATGAACATGCCACTCAAAGAGACATAAATTACTGGAAACAGGCCTGGATTTAGGAGACCTGCTGGGCGAGGGGGCCAAGGCCACATGTAAACTGAGCCTCAGCTCCAGTCTTGGACTCTACACCAGCTCTGGTCCCATGTGCACATGCTTGCACATGTCCCAGCTGGCTGGTTGAGCAGGGGCAACAGCGTGAACTGGTTGCCCTTCTAACCCAGGACCAATATGAAACACCACCACCCTCCTCTCTGCATTAACTGGTTTGCCCCAGCCTTCTTGTGACAATCTCAAAGCCACATGGCTTCCTAACCAAGAGATCCCATGGCTACCACTCCAGACTGGACAGACGGTCCCACACACATCACACAGAATATACAAACACAGAACAAGGCTCAATTTCATGCCCATACAAACCCTTCCCTCTGAAATCATTTTCCAACTGTACATGAGAGAATGTAGACTCAGCACAACAGAGTTTGAATCTCTAAAATAATACACAGGATTGAAAATGCCTTCCAGTCTGTAGGGGGTGCAGCTCTGATTTGTGAGAAGCGTGTGTGGGCTGACCTCTCACCTAGCCACCACCAGGCTCATGGGCCACCGTGTGACACTCTGCAGCACCTGTCGCACCAAAGCAGAGACAGGAGACAAGGCCTGGGGACCACAGGGGAGGGAGGAGACCCATCCACCTGCCAGCCTGCAATCACTTTCCACATGTTCCCTTAGAAGGGATTTAGAGGAAGGTGCAGGATTAGGGAAAGCTTGTGGCTGAAGGAAGACTTTTGACTGTGAGACATTTATTTCAACACCAAAGGATAGATCATCCACTCTGATCCCCTTCTCAATGTAATAGACTGATGTATGGAAGTTTCCTGACAAGGAATTATGAAGAGCCAGGGCGGCTCAAGGTCTCTGGCGACGGGCTCTGGTGGACAACACATGTGTGCGGTATTGCTCTCAGAGCTCTGGCTATTGCTTACTTGGCTTATTTAGAAATGAAAAATAAGGCCAGATACAAAATATGAAAAAACAGCTAATCTGGCCGGCAAAAGGCAGATTCTGGGCTCCTTCTCTGGCTACAGATAGAAGTGATGCCCACATGGATGTGTGACCATGGACAACACTGAGTGCAACAGGTGTGCAGTTATCCCTCCTCCTCCTCCTCCTTCTAGAGGAGTCTTCTAGATCTTTCTTCTCAACACACAATCATGTTCTTCTCCATCAGTTACACGCAGAGCTCCTTGAAGGGCTACGGCAGGCTGGTGACCTGGATCTTGATAATAAGAACACTCTTTGGGGACCATGTCAACTGCTGGCTGGCAGGGTCCTGGGTGTGCATGATGATCTGGGGGTTCTGCAGCACTGAGGCCTTTGGTCCAAAAGAAGTCACTGGGCATGGACCCTGCAGAGAGCAGGTCCTTCAGAATTCCTTTGTGCTTGCCTTGGCGGGCGTGGCAGACAGAGTGCGGGACTTGGGCCTACTGCAGATGGGGTGGCCCAGCACCATGTCCTCATCCTTACAACACGTGCAGTGCAGTGGTAGGATGTGTCTGCATTCAGCCCATTTCTCACATTGACCTTTTCTGGCTCCATCTCTGTCATCAATGAACAAGGGCTTCGGTCAGAACACTGATCCCATTAGCTGCTGCAGGCCCCTGCAGGGCCACCTGCTTCTGGGGTCTAGGCATCAGACTCCGCTGCCCTGCCCCCATTCATCACCACTACCCCAAACCCCCCTTGGCCAAAGGGACCATGGCACCCACCATGGAGCAGCACTCAAAAAAAATATTTCTGCCCTGACCTGAAAACATACCCACTTATCTTAACAGAGAGGAGACGAGAGGGAAAGAAACATCAGTGTGAGAAACATGGATTGGTTGCCTCCCCCATGTACCCTGACCAGGACCAAACCCACACCCAGGCACGTGCCCAGACTGGAATCAAACCCACAACCTTTTGGTTTTTGGGACAACACTCCAACCAACATAGCCACAATGGCCAGGGCTAACAATAAAATTTAAAAATAATAAAGAAGGCAGATCTTCTGAAGGTGCCTTTGTTTGAATGATGGGGTGAAGCGTTTAGGAGCAATCGATAGGGAATAAAAGGTCTTCTAGTATAAAGGAAAAGAAGAATCCGGGGAGACAGCTAGGAAGTGGGAAGGAGTACGTGACAAAAGCAGAGCATGGTCTGGAGACTTACGGAGAAGTGTGGCAGTTACTATAGGGAATAGGTGTGAAAAATATGTTTGAAGATTTTTAGGAACTCTGTTCTGTGATTTGTCATGTAACTGCCTCCTCTATCTCCCCAAGATAACATAAGTAAAAACAGTGTACTCTTTTGTATCTTTTGAATGTGTAAAACATCAAGCCCTGTTCCGTGTCAACACAGGATGATGGCAGGGGCTGTGAGGGAGGCTCAGGATCGTTCGTACTTACACGCAGCTTGCATGTTCGAGGATCACGGAAGTGAACTCTCGTGCTGAGTCAGAGCCCTTATTTGGTTGCCCAAAGGTAAGAGGGAGGGGACACCAATGAGTTACGTGGGACTACAGCGGTGGGGAGAGGAGGGGATGACTTAATCTGGATCCAGAAGAGCTGGCTGGGTTATGGGGAAGTAGTGATTCTCAACCCGTTTATTCATTCCAGTGCCAGTCGCCCAACTGGAGCTTGGAACGGATGACTGATCGTAGAGGAGAAAAGAGAGTACAGATTATTGCAATCAGTGATGCGGGAATTACTAACCCCCATTGTACAGATGAAGAAACCAAGACACAAAGTAACTTCCTACATGTCTCCCGGCAGTCTGAGTGGATCCAAAGCCTTAATACTCGCTCTGGCTAACCCAGCGTCGCTACCTATGCAATTCACTTCCGGTACCCCAACTCCGCCCCCCCACGCCACACTTCCGGATTCTACTACGCCCCGCTCGCGAATACTTCCGGTGTCCAGCGCAGGAAGCCGCAGCCGGGAGCTGTGGGGAGGTAAGTCTGCGCTGCCAGAGCCGGCAGGAGCAATCCTTGGGCAACGCCACAACAGGTCCAGGCGACAGCGGACCCTTATTTCCGTGTCAGTACCGATGATTACGCTGCACCCGTTTCCCTCGAAGAGGCCAGAGGCCCCGACTTAGAATGACGTCACTTCCGGGCCCTCTGCGAGCCGTGGAGGGCTGGAGATGGCTCTAGCTCCATCTGTCGGTGGGGAGGAGTCAAGGCGGATCTTCTCGAAATCTCCAGGTTTTGTGCTGTAGTGCCTCAGTTTGAGAGAAGTATTCTGACTAGCGTTGCTGGGTTTAGCGAAAAAAGTACAGGACGGCGGGTTAAATTGGAGTCTCAGATAAATAACAAATAATATTTCAGTATAGGTATGTCCCAAATTTTCTATGGAACATACTTATTTAAAGCAATTTCTAATTGCTGTTGTACACCTAAAACTAATACAACATTGTTAAATGTTTGTTAAGAAGAAATTCCTTGTGTATGTGAAATTCAAGTTTAACTGGACATCCTGTATTTTCTCTGGCAATCTTAACCTTGAGCGTCCTTCTGCTCTGGGCTCTGGTATCCAGCAGCAAGGCTGGGATCCTCTAGGCCTGTATCCATCTGGGAAATAAGTACAGCGTTCACCCAGGCTGTAGAAATCAGCTATTGCTAGGTGCTGAGATACTTTTAGCTCCGATCCTAATGGGGGCCAACCCCAGGAGTCCCCTGGCAAAAGTTGAGCCTATTTGCGGAATCCCCGTGGTGGTGGGCGCAGTGTTCCCTTTCACAACTGGGGTTGAACAGGGTTGGTCTCATGGGATAGCTGAAGAACAGCAGGCTAAGTGGCCAAGGGTTAGAAGTTGCCAAATTTTTTGAGTGTGGGATAATTTAGTGTTTAGGGTCCAGGTCTTCTGTGTTAACAGTGGACAGCTTCGGAGAGCCCGGAGATGTCAAGGAAAAGCATTAGTTTAATCTCATCCCACTTCTCATTTTGCAGATGAGGCCCCATGAGAGGAATGGAGCCTTCACAGGCACTGAAAAACCTGTAGTAGAGCTGGAGCCTGACTCCCAGCCCCCTGCCCCTGCTCTGGCCACACTGGCTGCTGCAGTAAACTGGCAGCACTATGGCAGGCATTTATTAAAATAGATGCCTTTTTAGAGATAGGTATTTGGGGGGAGTTGTCCCTAAACACTTTTACAGGCTAATGGCCTTCACCTTAAGGCTTTTTTAGCCTTTACCTTGCCCAGTGGAGAAAATGATTATTTGGGCCCTCCTGTGGGAGCCTGGCCTTTGCCTGATCTAGCCACTTGGCTCTCACCCCTGTGGGTGGCGCAAGACTTGTCTTGCTATGTGGGAGCCAAAAGGCATGCTATTGGCAAGGGTAGGTCTGGCCCACCATGTAGGAGGAAGGGTGTCTTTTTCCGTCCTGCAGTTTGAGTCCCCTGATGCATGGCCTCATGTGGCATCTAGGGACTTCTCTGAGGTTTCACCATGAGCCAGACTTTGCTGCCACTTCTGATTTGAAATTTAACCTCTTGTTGGACTAGTCCTGAGTGCTGGAATTCTTCAGGCTGTGTGCCTTGAGGAGGATGTGTTCTCGGCTGGTCAGTGCCCTGCCAAGCCTGCAGTCTCCCAACACAGATCCATAAGCTAATAAAATAGAGCTGGAGGTCAACGGGCTTGAGTCCGTTGGTAGGAGAGCCAGCAGCCTCCTGGCAACAACAGAAGAGGCAAGGAAGTAGTGCCAGAAAGGGGTGTTGCCCCTGGGTGAGGCCTGAGTGTGCAGGGGTGGTGAAGGGGCGGGACTGGAACCCACTGATAGGAATTGCTCACTCTGTTAATGATTAACTCTCAGCTGAAGTGGGTGACGTTAGAGGAGGGCTCAGCTACCAGGACCTTTGGACTCCAGGGGGCCAGTATCCAGAGGGCCAGTGTGTGGCCTACAGAAGAGACGGACTGTCTGGGTGGCAAGCCTGGGCTCCAAGGACTGGAGTGAGATCCGGCAGCTGTGGGCCTCAGGAAGTCTCCTGGGACTGGCAGATGGTCCATTTTTGCAGCAGCTGTGGGGTCCACTGGCCCTAATGCCTCAGGTGCTCGTGTCTCTAGCCTTGCGACTGCCTCACTAGTGCTTTCTTTCCCCTAGGTGGCTATGGATGCCAGGTGGAGCTGAAAGCAGTGGGGCATGGCTGCAGCCCTGCAGGTCTTACCCTGCTTGACCCGAGCCCCATTACTCCCACTCCTCTGGGGGCGCCCAGGGGCACGGCTGGCCAGTGGCATGGCCTTGGCAGAGCATGCTCAGAAGCTGTTTGAGAGCACTATTGCTGCTGTTCTGCCGGGCCCCATGATGCGCCGGGCACTGTCCTTGGACCCTGGCAGTGGACAGCTGAAGATTCGGGATCGGAGCTTTCAGCTGCGGCAAAACCTCTACCTGGTGGGCTTTGGCAAGGCTGTGCTGGGCATGGCAGCTGCAGCTGAAGAGCTACTGGGGAAGCATCTGGTGCAGGGAGTGATCAGCGTTCCCAAGGGGATCCGTGCTGCCATGGAGTACACCGGCAAGCAGTAAGGAGTTTGGGGGGCTGCTCCCCACTGTCCATGTGGAGGGGAACCTGGGCCCAGACTCAGACTGGATTGGGCCTCCCTTCCTCACCAGCTTCCCTTTTCTCCTAGGTCTGGCCTGGTTCCAGGATGGGTGTCAGCAGGCATCCTTGTTCATGCCCATCACCTGTACAGTTAGGAAATTAGATGGGAGAAGAGCCCATGCCATCCTTACTCTCTGTTCTCTTTGCCGTCAGGGAAATGCTACTGAAGTCACACAGCCATGTCCAGGTCTTTGAGGGTGCAGAGGACAACCTGCCGGACCATGATGCACTTCGGGCTGCGTTTGCTATTCAGCAGCTGGCTGAAAGTCTGACAGCTGATGACCTGCTGCTCGTGCTCATCTCAGGTGTGGGTGCCAGGTTGGCTCAGGACAGTTCAGTGGGGACTATCAGGTCTGTGAAAAACCACTGGTCTAAGCCCCGAGTCGCAGGGCAATTGAGGCAATGAGGAGCCTGGATGGCTGACTCCTAGATGGCCCTGTGCCAGTTATCTGGCCTCCCCTGAGCTGTGAGGTCCTCCCTTCAACTAACTTGTTGGCAGACCCATGAGAGGGCAAACAGCACCTGACTTAGAGTCTCGCAAGGAAAATGTCACTGTTGTTGCTGCTGTTTGGTATCACCTGGGCCCAGGACCCGAGTCTCCAGCCCCCGGCGCCCTCTCTTTGGTCCGCTGTCCACCCTTCCACCTGCCTTTTATTTCAAGCTCTTACGGAGCAGTTTTGCCAGTACCTGCTGGGACCTGGGCTGACCCAAGATCTCTGGTGCCCAGGGTGTGGCGACTGTTCACACATTCAATGCATGTCCGTACAGGGGCACCCTAACCCCACCTTTCCAACCCCCAACTCCTTCCCTAATGTGTGCAGTGCCCCCTTGTGTGCCTGGGTGGGGAAGGTTCTCGGTTGTCTCCTCTGCCTGAAGTCATCACTGTCTCTGCAGGTGGGGGCTCAGCCCTTCTGCCTGCCCCCATCCCACCCGTCACACTGGAGGAGAAACAGACACTCACCAAGCTGCTGGCGGCCCGAGGAGCCACCATCCAGGAACTGAACACCATCCGGAAAGCCCTGTCCCAGCTCAAGGGTGGGGGGCTGGCCCAGGCTGCCTACCCTGCCCAGGTGTGTGAGTCACCTCTTACCCGGACCCATGTGTGCTGGGCAGATGAAACCCTAAAAGAGCGTGCAGACTGTCGGGGGCCTGGTATGGGAAGTCACAGGGCTATCAGAGAGGGTAAGGGGGAGTCCGCACGTCCACTTGAGAAGGGTTACAGATGGGCAAGGAAATGTAGTGGATGGCGTAGGGTGTGTGGATACACAGGATTAGGGTGCAGTTTGTCCTCATAGCTCTGGGATGAGGATCAGGAAGAACTGAGCCTTGCGTCTTTGACCCTTTCCCAGGTGATAAGCCTGATTCTATCAGATGTGGTGGGAGACCCTGTGGATGTGATTGCCAGCGGCCCCACTGTGGCCAGTGTTCACAACGTACAAGATTGCCTGCACATCCTTAATCGCTATGGCCTCCGTGCTGCCCTGCCGCGTTCCGTGAAAACTGTGCTGGCTCAGGCTGACTCTGACCCTCGTGGGCCACACACCTGTGGTCATGTCCTCAATGTGATTATTGGCTCCAATGCACTTGCACTGGCTGAGGCCCAGAGGCAGGCTGAGGCACTGGGATACCGGGCCGTGGTGCTGAGTGCAGCCATGCAGGGCAACGTAAAAAGTGTGGCCCACTTCTACGGGCTGCTGGCCCAAGTAGCTGGAGCCCACCTCACTTTGCCCAGCACTGGAGCCCCCGTGGAGGAGGGTGAACAACTCCATGAGCTGGCGGCTGAGCTTCAGCTCCCAGACCTGCAACTAAAGGAGGCCCTGGAGGTCGTGGTAGGGGCTGAGGGCCCCGTCTGCATGCTGGCTGGTGGCGAGCCCACAGTGCAATTGCAGGGCTCTGGCAAGGGTGGCCGGAACCAGGAACTGGCCCTCCGTGTCGCAGCAGAGCTGGGACGACGGCCACTGGGGCCTGTTGATGTGCTGTTTTTGAGTGGTGGCACCGATGGGAGGGATGGGCCCACAGAGGCAGCTGGGGCCTGGATTATGCCCGAGCTTGCCCACCAGGCCGCCGCTGAGGGCCTGGATGTGGCCACCTTTCTAGCCCACAATGACTCACATACCTTCTTCCACCGCTTCCAAGGTGGGACCCATCTGCTGTACACAGGGCTGACAGGAACCAATGTCATGGATGTCCACTTCCTGTTCCTGAAGCCACGGTGATGACATAGGTCATGTTTTGGGAGTCCAGAGGCAGCCTACAGGGTAGGGTCCTGGGGCAGACCAGGGTTGGTCCCCAGGGTCTCACCAGGCCTTAAGGCCCCTCCTTGGCCCCTGCTGCATGGTTGGCTCTTATACCTCCCACCCCAGGGCCTCTGCTTCATGTCTGTTCCTCAGATCAAACTGGCAGGATGGTGGATCTCTTCCACCTCTACTTTCAGCTGTGGCAGCAGGTGCCTCAGGTCCACGGCAGCAAGGTGTCCTGAGGACCAGGACAGATCTCTTGGCCAGTTCGCTATTCCCCTGGGCAGCACCACTGCTGAGCTCCTGAGACTGCTTTTTTCTGTGGGGTGAGGCAAGAAGGACTGGAAATAAAAAAGACCACTCGGCGGGGTCTCAGTGCATCCTCCTTCAGAGCAAGGACCTGCGGGAGCTGCTGGGGAGGGGGAGGGGGCGCTGCACCACAGCACCTGGACCCAGTAGGAGTTCCCCACACCCTCTCTCCACAACACACTTGGCACTTGTTTCATTTCAGCAGGAGCCTGGGAGGGTTGAGCCTGGCTCCCAACACACTCAGTGAAGGTGAGCAGAGAGCCCAGGGAGGACAGGCGTAAGGACTGCTCTCTGTGGGGTCTGGGGGGGACTGGCCACCCATCTAACAATGACTCCCCAGTGGCATCCCTGCCCTGGTCTCCAGCCTCTGCCATATGCCTCGCTGGGCCCTGCTTTCTACCTCTCACCAGGGACACCCCTCCTGCCTTGGGTAGTCCTAAGCCACAGACACAGCTTTTGTGGCTGGGCTGCCCTCTATCTAGGGGCCACCCTAGCTACATAGGACACTGGACCTTGTTTCCTTGTGCCAGCTCTTTTCCTAGTCTGAATACCCCCACTTCCTTCAGCCACTACTCGGGATACCGTTGTGTTCCTGGTACCAACCTTGTCATGGGGGTCTCCACTGCTGCGATGGTGGGCCAGAGCAGTGATAGGGTCCAGCAGCCCCTGCCTCTCCCTATTAAAGATGGCAGGGAAAGGGCCAGTGAGGGGAAAAGCAACAAAGGAGGCCAGCAGTCTGTGCTGAGAGAGGGATGGGTCACTGTCCCCACTCTCCTTGGGCCCCATGCTCAGTGTCCAAGCCCTCCGCTGGCCGCCCCCGCCGTGCGCCACGGCTCCAATCCCTATATGAGTGAGCAGTAGAATCACATAGGAATAAAAAGCCATAGAGAACAGCGAGGCCTGGGGCTGCTTCTGCTGGCCACCCCAGCCATCTCCCAGCCCCTCCTACTGAAGGTGTGAGGGGCTCTGGGCCAGAGCTGGCATGCCCTCCCTCTAGGAACAGACTCCCTCCCCCACTTGGGCCCTGACAGCCCAGCTCGCAGGTGGTTCGTGAACTGAAGATGTCACATCAGGCAGGCTGGGCATTGAGAGGGAGGTGAGCAAAGTGAGCTGGTCTCTGAGGCCAAGGAGGTTTAGGGAATAGGGGAGATGACACCCTGCTGAGGCACCAGTTCCTTCTGCATATAGTCAAAGCTGACCAGGGTTGGGGGGCTCATGGTGTTAGGGGATATTGTCCCCACATGGCAGTGCCCGTATCCTGGTGCTCCTTAGGCAACATCTAGATATGCCCTGTGCCTGCTTCAGTCCTTGCTCAGGAGCACACGTATTAGCACTGGGGGTCAAGGTCCAGGCAAGAGCAGGACCTGAGGGCTGGGGCAGAGGACCTGTCTGCCGTGTCCCAGCATGTGTATATGTGTGGGTGTTGGTGCCGGCATACCACCGACGGGGGATGCACGTTTGTGTACACGTAAGTGCTCCACTCAGGAGATAAGCTGCTGCTTGTGCACATGCCTGTTTACACACCTGCTGAGGGGGTGGGTGGGGGTGGGGTCTTGCCAGAGGCTTCCCCTGTGCCACCTTGGCCTCTGCCCTGTGTCCGTTTGTGGGGGCTGGGAGGCCAGGGGCTGGATTGAGGCTAACCCATTAGATTTGCTCATTTGTACCCCGAAGATGACAGAGAATATATTTGGCCTCAATCTAGATGAAAATATGAGCTAAAACCTGCATGGTGAGAGTTCAATAGGAGTCATTTGCTCGGTAAATGTCAAGTATGGGTCATAATAATTGCTCCCATCTCGTGGCTCTTGGCTTCTGTCTCCCGGTTCAGATTCCTGCTGCCCACCTCACCTCCCTTTCCTGACTCTTCCTGGCCCAACTGGAGCTTTTGTAGGGTACCTGGCGCCCTTGACTGCTGCTGCTGCTCTCACAAGCCCTTCCATTCTGTGAAATTGGCATGAACTGAGAGCAGCTGAACAGTGAGCCTGGATAGCCCTTAGGTATCAGCTAATCCTTTGTTTTATAGCTGAAGAAACAGAGAAGATGGTTGGTCTGAGGCTACCAGCAAGTCTGCCACAGAACCAGAATTAGAACCTGGTTGGGGCCTATTTGACCATCCTCTACCCACCTGCTGGGGCTTGGAGACCCTGGGGCCGAGTGAGGGCTTAGCCAGAACCAGGGATCCACTCCTGTCTCCCTGCTGCTCCTCCCAGGCCTGAGGATGGTGACATGGCCACACTTGGTGTCTCTAGGGATCCATAAATCAGATTCGTCAGACCTTTCTCAGCTCAGACTTCACATCTCCATTGTGCATGTGATTTGGTGGGAAGCCACATGCTGGTGGGTAGTGGGCTTATTCACAAATACATGTGTCTGCGTCTGTGTGGGCAGGGGGACCCAAATGCAGGCGCTGCGCCAGCCTCTCCGCTGTGCTCTGCTCCATCCCAGCACAGGGACACACAGTTTGGCATGTTGGGGACAAGGTGAACCAAGTTGAGCCAGGAGGCCATAAAGGTTGGCAGAGGCCAATTGGTAAAGGGCCTTGTGTGTCTGGCCAGGGGGATAGGACCTCACGTTGACAGTGGTGACAAGCCTCTTGAGGGTTTTTATCAAGGCATGATGCCAGAAGGCTGTTTTAGGACTTTGATGCCAAGGGCCTCCTTACTGCAGGGGTAGAGGTCAGGGCATGCGAGGAGGTGAGGAAGGTGTCACAGGTGGGAAAGAGGTACATCGGGCTCAGGAACCCCCTCCTACCTCCCCTCTGCAGCTTCATCCTAGCAGCCTTCAGCCAGCCTAGGCAGCCCTTTAAATGCTCACTTTGGGAGCAAGGCTGGAAGCTCTGGCTCAACACCCCCACCCCAGAGTAACCCAGCCCCTCTGTCCTTGGGAATGCAGTTAGAGTCTGGAGGATTTGGGGGGCAGAGAAGCTGGGCAACTGGTGGACACTTCTGTGAGCATAGGTACCTTGTCCTCCTCTAGTCACTCACTAGGGTGTCAGAAGTTCTAGGTCTTTTAGGACTGGCCCTTATCCTGGCCTTGGTTTTCTCCTCTGTCTAATGGGAACAACATCCTTATCCTGCTTTCCTTTCTGGAGAGGTGTCAGCAGCCAGTAAATCTGGGTAAGAAACCTGTGCCAGGAAGGCACTCGGAGGGATGAAATGAAGGGAGAGAGACTGACCTCTTCCATGGAAAAGCTCAGGGAGCTCTCAGCTCAGAGAAGCTTCCCTCGTCCAGGCAAGGCCAGGCTTAGAGCCAGTAAGGCCTGGTTCGATTGACTGAGGCCAAGCGAGTGACCACTGCCCTTCCGTACTGGTCTGGCACTAGCAGGGCGTGGTATTTGAGTCTTTATTGGCTTCTGGGGTGCACAGCACCCTGGGAGGTCACAGAGCCACTGGGGGTCAGTTGGGACTAGAGTAAGTTGACCCAGTCTGGGAGAGAGCCCCTGTTGTGCCTCAGGAAAATAGGGCAGTGTGATCCTCCTGAATATGGGTCGTGAGAGGAACGTGACTCAGGTAGGGAGACCTGGCTTGACTCCAGGCCAGGAATCTTTGGGGTGAGAGGATTTGGGGTGTGCTAGGAGAAAACGGGTTGTATGGGGGTCGGGGGATGCTGACACACCTTAAGTGGTGGGGAAGCCAATAGCTTAGGCAGGCTGCCACGTGAGAGACAGGGATGGACCACCTTGGCCCTTGCAACTCGATGCCCACAGCTCTGATTCTCCCTCCACCTGGGACGGGTTGCTGCCTGCTCAGATGAGAAGGCTCTGGCCAGGGAAGAAGGTGAGGGAGAGTTAGGCCCCAAGTCCTAGGGGAGCAAATGCCCTTAGCAGCTCTACCTCATGGGATCACTACCTACTATGAGCTTGTCCACTGCTGACTCCCTAAGGGTTGGGGAACTGTGGGACCTAGTTCTGCCCTGAAAGATAGCCAGGGGCTGGCCCCCCAAGATGTACCCATTGGGAAGTTATGCCTTGTCCCACCCCACACCCTGGCTTTTCTCTGGCAGCCAGTAGAGCCATTCTGTTCACTTCTCTGAGGAAAGGTGAGCAACTCACGTACTCTGTCCTCTCCTAGCTCCACTGCTGCATCCCCAGAGGAGGGCGGGGCTCCTGGCAGTGGCTGCAGCCCCTTCCCACTCACCTGTCCCAGCTTCCAGGTCTCCGGCTCTCCTCCCAGCCCTGGGATGTCTCCAACAATCACACTTGTCGCCTCACTCTACAGAGGCTGCGCTCGCAGCCTCAGAGCCGGGGCTCTGTCCCCACCTGTCCCCCAGCCTACAACCATTCCCACCTGTCCAGTTCAGTTCGCCCCAGCAAACTGACCTCCAGAATACTCCGACTCTGGCCTGAATCCCTACGGTTTCACAATCTGGGTAAAGCTGTCCTGGGGACCCTGTCTGGGGAAGCTGATCGGAGACCCCCAGGGGAGGGAGGAGTTCCCCTCCCCTCACGTGGCTCTGTGGGTCTGGTAGACAGTAGCCTGAGGTGAAAGCAGCCAGCCTGTGGCAGGGGCAGATCTCTCTTCTGCCCACACCCACCACCTGGGCAGCGGGGGCAGCCCAGCACCTCCCTGTTCAGCAACAAAAACCTCAGTGAGGGACAAGCACCTGTAGGGGCACAGCCCAGCTGACAGCGCCACAGCCCAGCCAGAGGCAGTGTTCAGGGCTCCAGACTCTAGGACAGGGCATAGACCCAAACCTTGAGGAATAGCTGTTCCAGGCAGCGCAGCCCCCGCCCACCCCATCAGTTCCCTCCGAGGGTCTCCCTCAGCCCAGGACCACCCACGGAAGCCAGGCACCAGGGCAGGGACAGAGCCTGGTAGCTCCCCAGGAGCTCTGCCCACCCACCAGCCCCCCACCCCAGGCCAACTGGCCACCTCTCTGCCCTCCTCTCCTGCTGACCACTGGGGCATCTGCAGCTGGCACTCTGACTGCGGCTCCCATTGCCCTGGGCAGAGAAGCGTCTCAGCTGGACTGCCCACTCTCCCCACCTGCCTGCCCCCCAGAGCTCCGGCTGCCCCGCCTGGCGTCCCGATCCCCTGGCTCACCTCGGTGGCGCTCTGTCCTCACCAGAGGCACTGCGGTGTGGGAACTGTCCCGAGGAGCTGGTTCTCAGCTGAAACAAAGAGGTGGGGGAGAAAGAGGGGGGCAGCGGGAGAGGGAGAGGGTGAGTGAGCAGGCGAAGGAGTGGAGGCTGCAGGGGGAGAGGCAGGAGAGGATGAGAGAGAAGAGGGAGGGGCGGAGAACGTGTGCAAGAGATAAAGCCTGACTCCCAGGGACAGAGGGGCCAAGAACAGAGGGATGAGGCAATGGGGAGAGAGGGCAGGAGGTGAGGGGCCAGACCCAGAGAGGAGAGGTTGTTAGAGGGGCAGACCCAGAGCAAGTGAGGGGCGTGGGCGGGAGAGGGAGGGGAGAGAGGCAGGACTGCAGGGGGCAGGCAGTTGGGCTGGGGGCTGGGCTGGGCTGGTTGGGCAGAGCCACCCCACCACTGTCCCATGCCAGGCTCTGGAACTTGAGTGGACAAAAGACCATGAAAGGGAATGGCAGAGGGAGGTGAGCAGCCAGGCCAGCAGTAAGGCACTGGGCTGGTGGGCCAGCTGGAAGGACAGAGGCGAGGGACAAAGGCAAGAGAAGAACAAAGGTGTCTGAATGGAGGAATCGGCCTCTGCTGGCCTCCGCTGACCTCTGGGTACCGAAGCCTGGAGCATCCTAGACAGTCTCCTGAATGGAGGGCAGGTCCGCTCTGGAGCAGTCCAGGCTCCGAAGTGGCAGCCTACGGTCAAGGGGACAGGGACTGAGCTGTGAGAGGGGCAGGGATCTCCTTCATTCTGTGAGAGCTGGGAACACGTCATGCGTGACCACACATCAGGATGCTGCCTTCTTGGGGGAGGGCTTGGTTCATGGGGTCTGAAGCTGGACTGAGAAATGGGGACGGGAACTCCCCTTCTAGGGAAGAGCATCTGATGCCCCAGCGGAGTAGGGAAGGCTGGTGAGTGCCATGGGCAAGGAGAGGAGAATGAAAGGAGTAAGGAAGCAGGGCATAGGGAGAGAATGAGGTGGAAAGGAGGCTGCAAGGGGTGGACCCCAGCTGCATCCCCTTAACAAGCCCATCTAAAGCAAAGCCCCCAAACACACACCACACAATGCTCGGGCTGCCGAGTGCAGACCTAATGAAGGATGGGATAATGAACCCCTTCCCCACAGCTGCCCTCCTGCTGCTGGGCACTGCTGTGACAGGCAAAGGCACCGGATCAGTCAGCCTGGGCAGCCGGGCACAGGTCTGTGTTAGCGCTGGTGGGGGCAGAGGAGGTGGGGTGGCCTTGCCCATAGCTGCCTCATCCCTTTCTACTCTGGGGCGCAGTGGCCCTGAGCTAGTCCAGTCTCATCTCATGCTCAGAGGCGCAGGAGGACTTCCTAAGCCTCTGACTAAGACAAGTTCTCGTACTGCCCCACTGGAGACTCCTCCCAGAAACCCCAGAGCACCTGTAGTCTCTGGAGAGCAGGAGAAGGGGTGT